ACCTCTTTTTCTCGGCTCGATCCCGATGTGGGTGGGTTCCTTTCTATTTAACTCCGTCCATTTGGTGCTGTGAAATTTCGTCGAAAAACGTTAGTCCAATCAATTTTCGACCGTGCAAATAAATGCCAAATACGCAACTTGGTCAACAAAAATGTTTTCGTCGAAAGCGAACTCATGTCCAAGGTTGTCTGATCTCCAAAATGCAAGGCCATGAAAGGTTTAAATTCAATACATTTTGTTGGGTGTGCAGTCTATTTATTATCGGACATTTTTGGGACATGTTTTCAAAATGTGCCAAAAACATGTTTGGTCAACATTATCAAAAGCCGAAGAAAAAACTTAAAACTCAAACTCACATTATTTACAAATTACTTCCGTTTTCTCAACTGATGGAAGTGTGATTACTAGAACTGATAACTACAAACTTTGAGTGAGAACGGCTAACTTCCGATTGCCAAATCTATCACTTGCCATTTCTACGTCCCATCATTTGGATCGCATTTAGAAAAAAAAAAATGAACCAGAGTGATTACAGTGCGTTTTCAAAATCGTGCAACCTCTTCTAAAAAAAAAAAAAAAAACATGATATAGGTACAGTATTCAAATTTACATCTTACTTTTCTTCAAAATTAACAATTTTTTGGTGGGAAGAAAAGACTATCTGCTATTCTGGGAGATTTTTTAGATAATTATGGAGAGGCAACATTTTTACAACACTGTATAATCACACTGGTTCTTTTTTGCTAAATGCGATTCATTTTATACTCTAAACTTGTTGTGATGGAAATAACATGATTGAATTTGATTCATTTTCTTGCATAGCTTTGGCAACCCAGAGGGAGAAATGCAAAATATCTCAGCGTTCCGGGGCTTTATAGTTTATAAATCTTTCACATCTTCACATGTGCGTAATTTACACCGAAGGGTGGAACCTCGTAAGGGCTGCAACTAATAGTTCTAGGGGTTGAAGCGCGGTTCAGACGTGGAGCACACTTCACCGGACCATTAAGGTACTTGACCTGAAACATCTCCAGACGAGATTTATCTTGTGAGGCATCCATATCCAAGCTAAAAGATTCACTTAGCACCTTGAAACGAGATGCAATCCATGAGAGATTTTTGTAAAATTAATACTTGACATGGAAGTCCACAAAACAAATGTGTACTTTATTTTGAAAAACAATTTTTATTCTTGTGAATCTTACAAACTTATGCGTACACAAAATCGCGAATCAGGAAACTAGCACTTAATCAACACAGAAATCAACTGGGCCTCATTTAAATTTAAAATTCAAGAAGTCAATCAAAAGGTGGCATCTGTGGTTCCAAGATGGCTAACTCTCGACGCTTGTCTAGTTTTTATTGAAGAAAGAAACCGACAATTAAGTCAGCTTGACAATATTACACACGAAGATGGACGATGCTGCTTTGCTTTTACATCAAATTAATGTACTTGATATGCGCAGTAAATGAAATCATATTTGCGATAAACCCGTGTGTCGTTCCGTGCGGAGAAAACTGTGTTACGTTTTGAGGGCTCTTGAAAATCACAATGGACCTACTTTTGAATGCTATTCTTTTAGTATCAGTAGATTCTGACTAAAGGAAGAAAAAAAACGAAAAAAAGAGAAAAAAACATGGAAATGCAAATTTTTGTTGAAGCACCATTCAACGACCAAGTATATTTAAAAAACAAGTTTGGAAATTTCAAAAATCCGACGGGCAGTGCCTGGAAGCAGAACCTAAAATCTGGTTTTCGATTAGAAGAGGGGAAAAAAATAATTAAAAAGCCTTGGAGATACGGCGCGGCGTCTTCAACTTTCAAATGCGTTTTCCTCAAATCTAAGTTTTTTACCGTACTTGTTCAAGTAGTTCTGTAGTTCTTCAAAAATCAATCAATTATATACCTTCGTGGCCGTTCATGCGACCAGACTTCAAACGCTCTTTTTTCCGAGCTTTTGGTCCATTTTTAGGATGCGCAGATCCGGTTTTTCAATGGGAGGGTTTTCAACATACAGTAACTTTTACATCGAACAGCGGCGAGGCGTAAATGATCGATCATCGATATATTCCCATTTGAAGCTGTGATGAAGAATCGATTATTAAGGTGGTCGTTACGAACCTCTGTCTATCGATCCTTTACCATAGGTTTAAATGGCAGATCAATCGAGAAATCGCAGCGCGCGCCACGCCACTGACATCGAACATTCCCAACTTTCTCATCCCTCCCGCAAGCGGAAATCCGATACAGTTGAAAGTGTCACGCGGGTGGAACTTGCGACCGAATTAAAACCAGAAGTCAGTGAGATGATGAATTCCACCCTTCGAAAGGGCTCGAATCAAAAAGGGATGCAGGGACGAAGTCAGCCTCTCAGGGAGGGATGACTCATCGGGACAGGGACGAAAATTGTGCAAAATAGGAAAGAAGAAAGTTCCAAAACATTTTTGTCTCCTCCTTGCAGTGTTGCCCATTCGTGTATTTTCCCTTCTTTAATTTTTTTTAATAAGTAATAACTGCCTTCACTATCCGCGCAACGTGCCATTTGTATTTTCAGGAGGTCCGTTCCGCAAAAAAAAATAAATAAATAAAAATATAAAAAACATTAAACCGTCAATCATTGCGGGCTAAGTCGCCATGGCATGGTCGCCTTTGCACCGTGGTGGTAAAGTGCGTCCAAATGTTTCTTACAAAATTGCAAGTTCCCGTGTTTAATGAGTCTCTAATTGATTTAGTAGCGGTCAATGATTAAATTTTGATAAATTAACACTTATTTAACTCATGAAGAATTCGCACATGAGGTTAAATCAGTTTGTTTCGGTTTCAACCAAGAGGTCGATATTATATCGAATGACATAGTCACTAAATCAGTCTATACAATCGAGAGGTCGTTATACTAACACATCGGATGAGACAGCAGAGTAGAGTCTCTATATAGAGAGTTAAGACAATGGACATGGATGTCACAACCGGGAATGAAGGTTACACAAATCGGACGTTTTTTGTAATTTTTGATGACCCCATTCCCAAATTCTTATCTCCGTTCCATATCTCATTTCATTTGTTCCTTGCCGTACCCCCAATGTCTCGGTTCATTCCAGTTTTTAATCTTTGCATGACTGGTGAAACTGTAATCTTTATTCCCGTGTGTGACACTGTAAAGACCTAAAATACGGGAACCGATCAGACATGGATTCGCCTTGTCTTTACTCTCAGTATAAAGGGACTCTACAGCAAAGTAGGCAGGACGTCTAGCATCAGAAAAACCGGAAAAACTGGAAAATATCAGGGATTTTGGCCGATCAGGAAAAAATCAGGAAAATCGGAAAAATTGGACGTTTTATCAGGAATTTTTCTTACGCGAATCTCCTCAGCAGAGAAGTCTTACCGCTTTTTGCCTACCATGCCAGGAGTCGTCGAAAAATCAGGAAAATATCAGGAATTTTCAAAATGAAAAAATCAGGAATTTTTTATAAAATATCAGGAAAATATCAGGATTTTTCAAAATTAAAAAATACTAGACACCCTGGTAGGGCATCCCTTGATTTCACATACATGGATTTGAAGATTGGCAGCCGTGGATCCCTTCTGAAGGGTTCCTAGAGTGAGATGTTCCCGGGTCCTCACGCTACATTGCGTTTTGTCCTTCCCCTCCCCTCCTCCTCCCGGGCGCCAAACTTGAGCTTCGTTCGAGCGAAATCTGATCCGTATAAATTGTTATTTAATTCAATTTCAAGCGGGGGATCATTACTAATGTTCTGTTTTTCTTGGCGTTCTTCATACTTCATTAACTCGACCCCTGGGCGATTGGTTCTTTGCAGTCTCCGCCGCGCCGTTTATTACCATATCTTTGAATACTTAACGTCCGCGGTTGGGCTTATCTTACTTCAAAGTCCTCGCTTAAGTTCCGCTTTTCACACTTTTGCTCCAGAGAAAATACTACTTCCAGTGCTCCCATTTCCCGGAACTAGTTCCGAATTTCGGAAATTTTGATATTTCCCTGTATTATCCCGGAACTTTTGAATTTATCCCGAAATGTTCCGGATCTTTTGCATTTTCTGGAACTCTCTTGGAACTTTAGAAAAAGATCTAAAAAGCATCCCGGAGCTTTTGACAGTCATGTACTGAAAAAAAAAATCTCGGTGTATTTACTAAGAAAAGGGTAAATTACCAAGAATTCAGGGTTCTATTTGATGCCAGTTTTTTCTTGGTAAAATTACCATTTATGGAATTGGTAATTTTACCGAGAAATCTCGGTTAAATTATTGAACTTTCTCGGTAATTTTACTGGACCTTGGTAGAAACGCCAATATTTTTTATCGACTGTGGTAAAATTACCGAGATAAAATGACAACACTGGTAAAAAAAACCTCTTGGACCAATGCCGCGGTGCATTGACTAAAGAGTGCAGTTTCTTGTCGCCGGATATAAGAGTCTTGAACTCTTGTTTCAAGCTGATTTTGCATTGATTCAAGCGGATTTTGCATTGAAACAAGAGTCCAGACTCTTAAATCTGGCGACAAGAAACTGCACTCTTGAACCAAGAGGTTTTTTTTAACAGTGAAAGTTACCGGGAATCGATTACCAATAAAAGTGGTATTCTTATCTGAAAAAACAGTAAAAATAACGGTTTTTAGGTAAGCTCACCAGTGTCTTGGTAAAATTACCAATTATTGGTAAAAAAAAAGTGAGATGGTAAAGGTACCAACGGACCATGGTAAAAACGCCGAGAATTTGTTTTCAGTGCGGAACTTTTGAAATTCCCGAAATGTTCCGGATCTTTTGCGTTTTTTTTGGAACTCTCTTAGAACTTTAGAAAAAGATCTAAAAAGAATCCCGGAATTTTTGACAGTCATGGAGTGAGAGAAATTGGAACAAAAAAGTGCCGAATACCGGAGCCTTTGACGGACATTGAATGGGTGCACTGCTACTTACGTGGATTTTTCTTTATACTAACCAGAGCGTGTTATGACGTGCTTTCAAATATGCCAATACACCATCAAACCTTTTTTTTCGGCAATTATCTAATACAGGATTTATTTTTCTTAAGTGACTTCTACATCGATGTTAAAACTAGTTAAATGTCGAGAGGAACAAATCCCTTTAACTCAAGACGTTTGTGTAGTTTTTTTATATTTTTTATGTATTCGCTAGGAGTTTCATATTAAAAAGCACTACTTAGTTTTCTATAGTAGTCGCACGGTGTACCACGGTAGAGATCATTCACCCGGAATGGCTGATCACTTGAGAGAAGTAGCTCATCCATATTTCATGATCGAACCTGTTCATAAGTCCCGAACAGCTTCAAAACAGAAATACATAATCAAATCAAAATAAATCCATGACATAACAGCTTAACAAGTTTCCACTAGATACTATAAATAAATCACTATTTACCATCAGATGCATATGTATACGATCGAAATGCGTGAACCTGTGTGTCGTTTTACATTTTTGGATGGGGCGGAACCTATACTGTTTCCAGTTTGTCAAATACTTCTTCAAAAATTCCCGTTTTACTCAACGTGCTAAAGTTACTCAGACGACTTGTATCCACGCATAAATGGTCCGCGTTTGAAAAACAGAGAACGCATTATCCTTTAATCCTCCCAAACTACACTCAAAATCTCTGTTATCGCCCTACTGATGTATAGTTATTTATATGAAAATATTTTGCTTCCCAATATTGAAGTTCATTACTTCGCATGACTGTGATTATTCATATTTTTACCACGGTAGGTAACTGGTCAGAAAAATAATGAAAAAATTGACAGGCATATATTTAAGAAAAAACACTGAAGACATTATCAACCTAACCAGGGCCGGATTAAGGGGATGGCCACATGGACCGCGGCCCATGGCGCCAAATCTAGGGGGCGGCAAATTTTGCATTTTTTTTAAATGTGGGTATAAAACAAATCGAAATTAGAAAAAAAATTACAAACGAGAAAAGGCAACAAAATCTCTCATTTCCTGAGAGTATAGTAATTTCTAATTTTGTCGTCTGTCGGTGATACAAGAGATAGCACCTTTAATTAATCGAGTTAAGAGAGAAACCAAACGCGCAATTTGGCCTGGAACGGCGCGACTTAGAGAGAAATGATGACGAGGACTTGAGATGAAAAGAAGCCCTCGGCGCGGCAGTCGGCATGTAACACATATTAGCGCCTACAAAACTGCACGAATACTTCACCCATTGCATCAAACACAGTGCAGTTGCTGCAGTCAGCGTGAAACGGCTAGCGCCTACAAGAATGCATGAATACTTCACGCATTGCGCCAAAGACAGTGCAGTCTGCGCGGCGCGGCGGCGGAAGTTAAAATCATTAAACTACATTTATGTTTGTTCTTTCATAGTTTTTTCGTTCATTTCTTCTGAATGGAAGGCCTTGTCCACACAGAAATAGGTTTACGAAACTTAACTTTCGCGTAAAGTTCCGTGAACTTTGGCTAGTAGTGTTGACAGGGCTTTCCCAAAAAATGTGTCCAACACAAGTAAACGCGTCTTCTGCATCCTTCCCCCGCTGGCACGAGTGGCACGTTCACTTGATGGTTTTTATTGATGTTTCCAAACGAATGAGAAGGGGGCGGCAAAATACAGGCGGCCCATGGGCAGCAAGTAAGTAAATCCGGCCCTGAACCTAACTCAAGACGATTTTGGCCCTCAGGGAGTAGGCCACAGTATGAACACAGTGGCGTGGCGTGAATTGCGATACATCGATTGTTATGGCATTTAAACCTATGATAAAGAATCGATTATTCAGGTGTTCGCTGCGAACACCCTGTTTATCGATCCTTTTCCATAGGTTTAAATAGCATAATAATCTATATATTGCAAAGCACGCATGCAAGTGCAAGACGAGCTAGCTCAAAATCTTGATTACATCATACGAAAGAAGAATTAAACTTACAAAATCGCACAACCAAAAATGAGACCCAAAATTGACATTGCCACGCTGATGATGTCTGTCATGAAAGACGATATCTGGGAGGAATGGCAACCAATGCGGTGCCTTCAAATTGATTCCAGAATGGTCGAGCATATTGTGGCCAATTATAAACACGCTGATCGCAACAATCCACCCTGAAAAATTAAGAAGTCGTACTTTTAAAGGACAATTGAGAGGCTTGGAGGACAAGGCGCATAAGTGCAATTTTCACTGTTTCGAGAAATACTTGTTGGAAGTTTCAAAATTACGTAGATCTTCATCACGGAGAGAAAATTCAAACTGACTTTTTGATGCTCAAAAATTAGAATCTGGGGGCAAATTTTTTCACAGAATATGTATTAAGACTAGTTTCATTCGAAATCATTAGTATCTCAATTTTTTCATGAACTGCACTCATGCGCCTCGAAGCCACTCAATGGTGATTTCTTTCTCATTTTAGATGACTCGCGACGAAGACTTACTTAGGAAATGTCATGGGGGGGGGAGGGGTGATAATGAACTTATCAGATTGAATTGTATTACTGATCGCAACTTACTTGTTGTTTGGTTCTGTTGTGATGTGAGGATTTTTTCCCCCTAAAAATACTAAAAAAATCATCAAATCACATCAGAACCGGCAAAAAAAGTTTTTTTGGAATTCGGAGGACAGAATTGAAACGACGCTAGATCACATTATGCATGTGTAAAAATGCAAAGTCTGTAGACTAGAATAGTTTCATGTAGCATGATATGATAATTTAATTTCCAGAGAAAACTGTCAATATCTTTAGAAGTTCCATTGTGCAAACTCTATCTAGATATTCAACTGACGTTGGTTTGTCATTTTACTAAAAAAAAGAGGAAAAAGAAACCCCGAAAATTACTCACCGAAGTACACTGGAACAACAAAAAATGGCGTCATGCTAATCAAGAAGAACACAGTTATTTCGAAAGGATGCCACGCAAATGTAACGAAGCTGGTTGGGTGTTTATACTTGTGATGCACACTGTGAATTTTCTTGAATAGCCATCCTGAATGAAAAATCCGATGACGCCAGTATTCCTCGTGATCCTGTTCGATCGAAAATTTACTCAGTCACATAAAAATATGCACGAAACATAAAAATCGTCAGATTTTCGTCAAGTTATTTATTCAATCTGGTGTGAATATTTATCCCAAGAATAAACGTTGTTTCTTTATCATTTGGTTGATTTATTTATATTTTTACTATTTTTGACGAAAATAAATGGTTTTCCCATTGAAAACAAAAGAAACAGCTCACTATTGCCGTGCTAAGGAAAAGCGCCGTATAAGCCTTCAGACGTTGCCACATTGTTTTCAATAAAAACCTAATTTACAAGGAAAATTGTGAATGTTTTTCTTCAATTTTTTAGACAATTATGTCTGAACTGTCTGAAAATTTCAGTAAAATATTCATAACATTCCTCCAAAATACATTGTTACTTTTGGAAATTTGGCAACTCTCGAATCTTCATACGGCGCTTTTCCTCGGCACGGTAGACTACATGAGACCCTCTCCCTCCCTCCTAAAATATTTAGTGAAAAAAATATCGGAATTTAGCCAGCAGTTACTTTTGGCGTTTCTATAATTTTCTCAGACAAGTAAACTTGTACAGTGAGGAATCATTACGAAGTGGAAACTTGGCAGTCCGATTATAATTGTTTTCAAGTAGGATTGAAAGCCTCCAATGATTAACTTTATAAGCATGCGTTTCCACAGTAGTGCGTTCTTGAGACAATATTAATGTCAGCAAGTATAAACGGTAACAATGACTAAATTTCATATGCAAAAACTTAAGAAGTCGATGATTTAAATGAATGAGAAGTGCGTTGTTGTAATTTGATCTCAATCATGACCTAAATATTTTATATAACGTGGCTCTGGGAAAATTAATTTCAATGTTTACCTGTGTAAACTAATGAAATTTTTACACACAAGAGATACTGACAAGTCAATGATTTTTCTGCAGGTAAAATTACCCATGAAGCACAGCAAAAAAGACTGCAAGCCACTCTTTAGCGCAAAATTAGCGTAGCTTGCAACACGCTTACTCTCACTTTTTCACGCGTGCGGAAGTTTTCCTTATTAGGCGGCAAATCAGGTTTGACCAGATGAGATGCAAAAAAAAAAAAAAAAAATGGA